ATAGTAATGAAAACAGTGTGGTATTGGTATAAAAACAGAGAAGTCAACCAATGGAATCATATAGAAGACCCGGATTCTAACCCACAAACCTATGAACACCTCATTTTTGATAAAGGAGCTAAAAGTATACAATGGAAGAAAGAAAGCATCTTCAACAAATGGTGCTGGCACAACTGGATGTCAACCTGTAGAAGAATGAAAATAGACCCATATCTATCACCATGCACAAAACTCAAGTCCAAATGGATCAAAGACCTCAATATCAATCTGAACACACCGAACCTGATAGAAGAGAAACTGGGAAATACCCTACAACATATGGGCACAGGCAATCGCTTCCTAGGTATAACCCAGCAGCCCAGACATTAAGGGCAACATTGAATAAATGGGACCTATTGGAACTGAGAAGCTTCTGTAAAGCTAAGGACACTGTCACTAAGACAATAAGGCAACCTACTGAGTGGGAGAAGATCTTCACCAACCCCGCAACAGACAAAGGTCTGATCTCCAAAATATATAAAGACCTCAAGAAACTAGACCTTAAAATGCTAATTAACCCAATTAAAAAATGGGCCACTTATCTGAACAGAGATTTCTCAAAAGAAGAAGTTCAAATCGCCAAAAGAAACTTAAGGTCGTGCTCAACCTCCTTAGTGATCAGGGAAATGCAAATCAAAACGACTTTGAGATATCATCTTACACCAGTCAGAATGGCTAAAATCAAAAACACCAATGAGAGCTTTTGCTGGAGAGGCTGTCGAGGAAGATGTACCCTCATCCATTGCTGGTGGGAATGCAAACTTGTGCAACCACTTTGGAAAGCAGTGTGGCGGTTTCTCGGGAAATTCGGGATCAACCTACCCCTGGACCCAGTAATGCCACTCTTGGGAATATACCCAAGAGATGCCAGATCATATGACAAGGGCATTTGTTCAACTATGTTCATAGCAGCATTACTTGTAATAGCCAGAAACTGGAAACAACCTAGATGTCCTTCAATGGAAGAATGGATGAAGAAAGTGTGGAATATATACACATTAGAGTACTACTCAGCGGTAAAAAACAATGACTTCTCCAATTTTGCATGCAAATGGATGGAAATAGAAAACACTATCCTGAGTGAGGTATCCCAGACCCAAAATGATGAACATGGGATGTACACACTCATAATTGGGTTCTAGCCACAAATAAGGTCAGAGAGTCTATAATATGATATCCTAAGAAGCTAAATAAGAAGGTGAACCCAAAGAAAATCATATAGCTATCCTCCTGGTTATGGGAAGTAGACAAGATTGCCGGGCAAAAAATTGGGATCATGGGGGGTGGAGTGGGATGGGGGTAAGGGGAGATGGGGAGAGAAAGTGAGAAGGGGAGGATGGTGGGGGGGAACTTGGGGAAATGGATGATTGGGATAAAGGAAGGTTGGATAGGGGAGCAGGGAAGCACATATCTTAATTAAGGGAGCCATCTTAGGGTTGGCAAGAGACTTGGACCTAGAGGGGCTCCCAGGTGCCCAGGGTGATGTCCCCAGTTAGTTCCTGGGGCAGCTGAGGATAGGGAACCTGAAATGACCCTATCCTATAGCTATACTGATGAATATCTTGCATATCACCATAGAACCTTCATCTGGCGATGGATGGAGATAGAGACAGAGACCCACACTGGAGCACTGGACTGAGCTCCCAAGGTCCCAATGAGGAGCAGAAGGAGGGAGAACATGAGCAAAGAAGTCGGGACCACGAGGGGTGCACCCACCCACAGAGACAGTGGGGCTGATCTATTGGGAGCTCACCAAGGCCAGCTGGACTGTGATTGAAAAAGCATGGGATAAAACCGGACTCTCTGAATATGGCGAACAATGAGGGCTGCTGAGAATCCAAGGACAATGGCACTGGGTCTTGATCCTACTTCATGTTCTGGCTTTGTGGGAGCCTAGCCAGTTTGGATGTTCACCTTCCTAGACCAGGATGGAGGGGGGAGGACTTTGGACTTTCCACAGGGCAGGGAACCCTGACTGCTCTTCAGACCTGAGAGGGAGGGGGAGAGGAATGAGGGGAGTGGGAGAGGAGTGGGAGGAGGGGGAGGGAAATGGGAGGCTGGGAGGAGGCGGAAATTTTTTTTTTCAATAAAAAAAAAAAGCACTCTCTCAAAGCCTTACAATCTCAGGACACCAGGAAACCAATAAGGCATGACACTGTGGTCTCACAAACCAGGACATGCATCTGGTCCATCCCCGTGGAGACAACAGGAGACTCCAGTGCCTCTGTCAGAGGCTTGACTTGAGGGAAAGGAGCACTAAAGCCTTCACATTGCAGGCTCCCTGCTGAGGGCAGCCGGCTTCATACATTATCCTTCTCAGTGCACAAAATACAGACTTTCCACGTCAACAATTTAAGGCAAACAATAATCTGCAGCATTAAAACTTAAATGAGTATCATGATTATCAAATTCCTGATCAAATGGAAAATCCTGTGACAGCATTGTGTTCACTTTTACAAAATAAGACCAACTTCTCTGCCTTCCATTCTAAAGACACATAGATGTTAGAAAACTTCTTCTACTGAGTTCAGAATTGTCAATAAACTCCTAAGAACGCAGAAACTAAACTATAATTTAACTTATGATTTAGTGAATACATGTTTAGTAAATGGACCTAGTTCGATATTTGGGGTGAAAAAAAATCAAGTTCTAGATATTTCTATATTATGTTTTCTCTAATGTATGTAATCTTGTCTAAAGGTTGCTAATTATATTTACTGCGTTTCTATAACTCTTACCCAAATTAATATTCTGATCAGTATTGTATTGTAAGTTCCATTTAGTGTATAAAATACTTAGAGTGTTTAAGAAAATATTTGAACTTCATAAAATTGATTAATAAATTATCTTATTTAGATATAACTTACTGGTCATCAGAAGTTACCTTGACATCATTTTGTAGTAAAATAAAAAGATTTGTATGGCCACAAATCACATCTAATTACTGGACAACAATAGAACACCTTACTTTTACAATGATTCAATAAAATATATTTAAAATATAAAAGAATTACATAATACAATCAATGAATATGCACATGAAATTTTTATTAAAATGATTTTAAATATCTCCTGACTTTCAAAATATGACTACAGTACACTGAATTCTTTCAGATGAGGTGTATTCTAGTAGAAGAATTGCAAATACATACATACAAAAATTCAAATTAGCATGAAAAATAAACCCCTGAAACAAATACTGGGGTTCAACATGGTCAGAAAAGCAAACCAGCCAGCCACTGACTCTTACCTCTACCTCAGTCCAAAATAACAATCCTAATTTTTAAATGAGGTTGAGGTAACAGCCAGTGGCTAATTGTTTTGCATTGTTGACCTTCAGATTGAACCCCAATATCTGTGAGTTTTTATTAATTGTACTACAATAAACTGTGAAGGTGTTTTATAAAAAGTCAAAATATAAATCCAATCTAGTTCTTCAAAAAAGTTATAAAAAACAAAAGCCCTTATCAAAACTACAAATGTATGGGTTTTCACCTTTTGTGAAGTTGTTCTTTTCATGTATGCTACTTACTTAGGATTCAGTGAGCACACAGACAATGTCCTGGACAGATACAGCTCTGTTGTTTTAGTGGAAACCATCCTACTGCTTCCGGCCTCTTCCTCAGGTCTTCAGCCTTAAACACTTACTGCAAATGAAGCACTAGGCAGCCTGAGAATTTTCTGTGAATGAAGTGAAGGGAGGCCCCAGACAGGGTTATATAGAGGGTGCACCATCCTCTCCTCTCCCACTGCACTGCTAGTCAAGTCCTGCTCTTCACCAGGACAGACCTGGCCTGGGAATGTATGCTTAATTTGTTCAACCACCACAAGGCAAGCAGCACTGTCACACTCAAATATAGCAAAACACACTTGAACTTTGTCAGTCCTGTGTTATGAGATGAAACAAGGCCCTCAGCCCTTACAGGATGTAAAGTAATGATGTGAGTGACAGCTAATGCATCATACAAAAACACTAACTGTGAACTTGCATCTTCATGATATCCTTAAATGAGAAAGGAACAGACAGAAACCAGGAACCTAAAAGCATACCATACTGTTTTCACAAACTGAAAAGACAACAGACAGGGACAAGTGTGTCTGCACCATTGCCAGCAGCAGAAAATGTAAGTTCAAGCTTGTACAAGGCAGGTACAAAAATTATTTCTCAATAAGCTTTATAAGAATAATAAAGGTTCAAAATAAGAACAATGGAATCATCCTATATATATATGATACACATCTGATCCCATATGGGTCAAAGGTGTGTGCCACCACCACATGGTCACAGATATATTTTAAAAGACAGGTAATCTTCAAGCACTTCAGAGATCTACAGAATGTGACATTTAAGATGTTTTAATAACATAGGTTCTTTTTTATGACAATGAGACATGTCTGTTCCTGACTGCACCAATCTTGTTTAGAGATGATGAAGGGCCTTGAAGAAACTTCACATGGAGTTTACTTTCTTTGTGGAAAATGTAAACCACTGGGCAAGAAGTGTTCGTGCCTCTATTACTAAGAGCATGTTGTCCAAACTATACAAGAGGGCACAAAAGAGAGCGATTGGTAAACCTTGTCAAGACAAGGCAGACAACCCTTCAAAAACACTGCTTCATAGAAAAGTCTATTGATAGTCTAGGCCTGTAGGCAAAAGAGAGATGCTCAAACATTACAGAGGACTTGGATGACTGTCCAGGCATCCAGCTGGTTTTGTCATTTCTCACATTTTTTGGAAGTCACCTGCTCATACTTCCTGCTTAGTCAGTTAATATTATTTTCTTCTCAGGTCTCTGAGGTAGAAGAAGACTATATAGTTACAGTTTTCCTTGTTCACCAGACTCGGAAAAGAAACTCATTAAAGAGATGTAAAATAGCCATGCTACCAGTAGCGGCACATGCCTTTAATCCCAGCACTTGGGAGGCAGACACAGTGAGTTCAAGGCCAGCCTGGTCTAGAGAGTAAATTCCAGGACAGGTTCCAAAGCTGCAGAAAAACCCTGTCTCAAAAAAAAAAAAAGAGGTATATAAGGTTGAAAGATTCAAAGGATAGTTTTCAATATTAATGAAAATTAGAATAGAAATAGAATCAGGAGCCGGGCGGTGGTGGCACACGCCTTTAATCCCAGCACTCGGGAGGCAGAGGTAGGAGGATCTCTGTGAGTTTGAGGCCAGCCTGCTCTACAAGAGCTAGTTCCAGGACAGGAACCAAAAAGCTACGGAGAAACCCTGTCTCGAAAATCCAAAAAAAAAGAAAGAAAGAAAGAAATTGAATCAAGTACAACACTTTGGACTCACCAAGATAGGATAGATAATAGAGTATTTTCTCTGAATTTGTCAAATGCAAATGAACTAGACTTTGTTGAGATATTTATTGTCTGTATAGATTGTATATATTTGTTGTATTTATTGTATATAGCTTTTCTTATATTAGTTATAGCCTTCTTTTCTTAATTTTTTTGGTTGTAGCCTTATTTTTTTAATTTTAGACAAAAATGGGAAATGTGGTGATATTTTCTTTGTGTTTTAACAAATAAAGCTTGACTGAAGATTAGAATGCAGAGCTAAGCCATTAGAGGCCAGGTAGCGGTAGCACATACCTTTAATCCCAGGACTTGGGAGACAGAAAAAGATGGCTCTCTGTTAATTCATGGTTACCCTGGACTACACAAAATTTATACAGTCTAAAAGAGAAACAGAGTTCACACAAAGGTGATCCCAGCACTTGCGATCACACATCTTTAATCCCACTAGGGAGGTGGAGACAGGATGGGTGGAGAAAGGAATATAAGGCGGGAGAAGACAGGTACCCAGAGCTGTCTACGGCAATCTGAAGCAGTCATTCTGAGGAGCAGTCTGAGCAGCAGTCAGTCTGAGGAGGCAGTCTAAGGACAGGATCATCCCTTTGGCCTGAGCATTGGTAAAGGTGAGTACTCTAGTGGCTGGCCACTCTGCTTCTCTGATCCTTCAGCTTTCACTCTCTGATAGCTGGCTCCAATTTTCTATTACTAAGACCAATAAGAATTTGTGTTACACTTCACTGCTCCATTTTTTACATAATCATGGTTTTCAGTGCTAGGTCTCCAATACAGAACCTCATGCTTGCAAGCAAGGGCTCTTTGACTGAGATGCATTTGGAGACCTGTTGTCTTCGAGTTTCAACTGCTATAAAGAGACACCATGACCACAGCAACTCTTATAAAGGAAAACATTTAATTGTGGTGGCTCACACACAGAGGCAAATGTTTAGTCCATTATAGTCATAGCGGGAAACAAGGCATCTCTCCAAGCCTGAAGAAAATTTTAAAGCCATGATCGTTTTTTCCATTTATTATTTTTTTCTTTTATTGGTTTTTATTGAGCTATACATTTTTCTCTGCTCACCTCCTTGCCTCTCCCCTCCCCTTCAATCTTCCCCAAGGTCCCCATGTTCCCAATTTACTCAGGAGATCTTGTCTTTTTCTACTTCCCATGAAGATTAGATCTATGTAAGGCTGTCTTAGGATCCTCATTGTTGTCTAAGTTCCCTGGGATAGTGATTTGTAGGCTGGTTTTCTTTGCTTTATGTTTAAAAACCACCTATGAATGATTACATGTGATACTTGTCTTTCTGTGTCTGGGTTACCTCACTCAAAATGTCAAAAGATGTTAAACAGCAAAAGAAAATAATAACAGTAATGGGGGGGGAGTGGGGTTGAGTCAAGGTTTCTCTGTAGCTTTGGAGCCTGTCCTGGAACTAGCTATTGTAGACCAGGCTAGCCTCGAACTCACAGAGATCTGCCTGCCTTTGCCTCCCGAGTGCTGGGATTAAAGGCATGCACCACCACCACCTGGCTTAAAACCAGGATCTTTACATGTATCTGAGCTACTTAGAGTGCTTGCCTATAATGAAGAGGCCCTGGGTTTTATCCTCTATAATAACCTGGAAAATACCTATCATCCCCACACTGAGGAGTTGTATTTGAGAAGATCATACATTCAAAATCAACCTGGGATACATAGTAACTTCAATGCCAACCTTGGATACATTAAATTGTGACTCAAGAAAAAAACTTTTAGCCTGCAGGCAGATATCTGTGAGTTCGAGGCCAGGCTGGTCTACAAAGATAGTTCTAGGACGTCCAAGACAGGACTGTAACACAAAGAATCCCTGTCTCAAAAAGATGAATAAATTAATAAATAAATAATGAAAATTTTAGATGTAAATATGAAGGAAAAGCCCTGTGACCTACACTCAATTTCTTGTGAGTGCAAAAAAGAAGATTGCCAGTTCAAAGTCAGCCTGAGTTACATGGACACTACATGACCTAACGAGATTCTAATCCAAATAAAAATTCTAAAAATTTTTAAATGAACTCATTTTATTCTGTGATCATTGTAAAGAAGACATGGAAGCAAGCAGAAAGCTCAAGGCGATCATCCACTGTTGTGTGTAATTCTGTGTAATTCTGAGAACAATATGTTCTATCAAAGACTAAGAGGAATTTTCAAATACATTCAGTTTTAATCTACATACTCAGGAGGATGAGGCCAGTGAGATCCTGTAGGTTTGAGTCTAACACTGACTATAGAACCAGACCGTATTTCACAAAGCAAAGAAACGAGCTTTCAATGTGCCCCAAGCCAAGTTTAATTCCAGATACTTGAGTATGTCTCAGCAGAAATTCCAGCTGTTGGGAACATGAATCAGAAGACCTGCCAAGACTTGAAGGCCCATGGTCTCTAGAGTCAAGCCTTGTCTGAAACCCAACAAAATGCAAGCTAATAATTTGCTATGCGTCAGAACATGGAGAGCATGCAGATAATTCCGGTGGCACTCGGGAGGCTGAGGCAGGAATATCTTGAGTCCCAACCTAGTGTAACTACCTGGCCAAGTGTAGGAGAGCCTGTGCTGCATAGTGAGGCTCTGTCTCAACACCCAGACCTAAACCAAAGAAATACAGAGAACAGTGGAAAAGAAAGCAGACCTGGGTTTTGAAGTTTAGTGTCTTCTATCCGTGAAGAGACAGAAAACAGAATGCCCTATGCTGTCTTGGGTCTAAAATGTCTCCGAGCATGTTAAGTTGTCTTGATGGAAATGAAGTTCTTAACTGATCTAGACACAGGTGACAGGCTCCAGGGCTCTGAGTGTCTTCTCTGGCTCCAATAACACATGTATAAACCTTTCTTTTCTCACTGCTCAGCAGCTGCACCACCAACAAAAGCTGCCATATAAATTGATGATTTTGCTCCACCCATTTAATCTTACATGAAACTTCTTTCTCAATACTCATTGAACCAAAACTCCTTGGAAGAAGAAACAAACAAACAAATAGAAATCGCAATCTTAGGATCCTGACCCTATCAGGGGTCCATGCATTAATACATGGAGTTCATTTATTGTTTGTTTGTTTTTGAGATGTGGTTTCTCTGTGTAACTCTGGGTGTTCTGGAACTCACTCTGTAGAACAGGCTGCCCTAGAACTCAGAGATCTGCTTGTCTCTGCCTCCTGAATGCTGGGATTAAGAATGTGCCACCATGGCCTGGCTCACTTGTTTTTTAAATTTATTCATTTAAAATTTATTTGCTTACTTATGGACTTGGTTTGTTATTTGCTTCTGTGACAGAGTCTTATTCTGTAGATAATCTTGTTTCAGACTCAGCAATCCTCCTGCCTCATCCTTCCTTCTAAGAGGATTACTATTGAGAAACAACACAGCTGCCTGGATTTTATTTATATGTGCCCCTCATTGCTCTGAGTATGAGTAGGCTCATGGTTTAATCTGTGCCTGATAATACATGTAAAATAACAAAATAAAGCTGAATTATTTTTGTCAGAACTGTGAACGTGTCCTGGAGTTCACGGTTGAGCTGGGTGCTCGGTGAGTCATCTACTGTGGCAACTCTGAGAAGGCTGAAGTAGGATGCTGGCAGAGGATCAGCTCAAAGTCATCTTCAGCTATACTGCAAGCTTGTGGACAGCCTGAGCTTATGAAGATAATTATCTCTAAACTTATATAAAATTGAACCAAAACAAAAAGGCTGGCCTTGAGAAAAAAGGTGCCCTTAGTACCCCAGGAGGGAAGGGTGTTAGTTATAGTTTTAGTTTTCCTTTGTTATGATAAAAGATAAAATAGATATAAATATTGTAACTGTAATTCTTACATGATAACTGTTTTGTTATGTGTAATTTTGCTATGTTAAAGTTAAAGCTTTCCTTTTTTTGTTTAAACAGAAAAAGGGGAAATGATGGAGGAAGGTCATTGGTTAATAAACAAACTGCCTTGGTCCATTTGATAGACCATCCCTTAGGTGGGTGGAGGAGACAGAACAGAATGCTGGGAAGAAGGGAAGCAAGGTAGACGCCATGCCTCCCCTCTCCAGAGCAGACGTGATGAAGCTCCAACCCAAGATAAACATGCGCTAGAATCTTCCTGGTAATATGGGTTAGTCAAAATGTGAGAGTTAGCCAGCAAGAGGCTAGAGCTAATGGGCCAAGCAGTGTTTAAGTGAATACAATTTGTGTGTTGTTATTTTGGGTATAAAGCTAGCCAGTGACCAGGTAGCCAGGCAGCGGAACACAGCCCGTAGCTCCTACTACAATCAGCCAACACACTGATCAGAGAAAAGGAAATTGTGACTGGAAGGTAAGCAGGGTACAGTGAACCACACCTTGAATCCCAGTACTCTGGAGGCAGAAGCAGGAGAATCCCTATGTCTTTGAGGCCAGTGAGATCTATATATCAAATTCTAGACCACCCAGGGCTTCATAGTGAGACTGTCTCAAAAGTCAAAACTTATTTTTTTTCTTTTATCAAGGTAGCTGGGTAGCCAGAGAAAGACACATGTTGCAATGGACTTTGGCATTAAGCCTGGGTAAATTCAGTTACAGGAACCCACATGTTTGAAGGAGAGAAAGACTCTGAGGTTGTCTTCACCTCAACATGTATCCCCCATGCCTCACCCATAATGGAATTAAATTATATATAAATTATATA